TCCTCACTAACTCCTACTTCGGGCTCGGCCGCTGTTGAAGCGAACGCTCCGATCTCATTCGGGACCTTCGTAGAATTAGTAGTAGTCTCAGTTGGAGTCGGCGTGGTAGAAGCATTCGTCGCAGTAGACGGCAGAGTCGGCAGCGGCTCTTCTTCAACCTTAACAACACACTTCCCCTCCTTGATGTGTATCTTGTGAACCCTGCGCAGAGAGGCCAAGCCAGCATCAGCTCGAGTGCTGTTCACTGTGCATTGAGTATCGTCGTACCTACACCGCATCGTCTCGCTCCAACAGTGTCATTTCCCTTACACTTGAGAAGAGAACTTCGGTATGGTTATAGAGCCTCCCGTTGGGTCAATCCACTCAGGCAAGTGCAAGCACTTCGTCATCTGCCCTACTGACACCTTGAATGAGCTGAAACGTTATCATGTTGTCTAGTCCGATGAGCCACGGAAGTTACATGTCCGTCCCAAGCGGCTCGCAGTAACCAATTTGAATGGTCTGCCTCAGGAGCGTCTTGCCACACTTTGCCTTCATAGTGAGACAAGCGTAATCACCGATGGACATCGGCGAGGCGATGACTTGGCGAATCCAGGACCAGATCGACTTGGTTTCGTTAATGATGTCTTTTTCGATCTCGGACAAGTTGGCGACCTGAAGCACCATAGATCGACACACTAACACACGACCAGAGTTTACTGTTTCAGTATCGAACTTGGCTCTCTGAGCGGCGGGAATATCCAGGGCGAAATCAGTAGTCACATCCACGTCGTTGAGGGAGAGCTGGGCAGCAACAAGGCCGATTAGGGCAGAGAGCAAGAGATATCCGCGCATTCTTGCACACAAGTTTGCACTGGAAGACCAGCCAATACAGAGCGCCTCTTGCCTACAGCTCAATACCAAACATTCTGACAGCATAAGCTGCTTATCGTTCAACAATTCCAAGCCTAGTATTTGGGTGCACACGAAGTAGCCGACGCGGACACTCCGGGTTGGAAAAATACACTCGCATACTGAGCTAAGATCAGCACGAG